AAGAAATATGAGCCATAACATGAGTAGATATATGCACACCAATGTTCATTGCAGCACTATTCACAATAACAAAAAGATGAAGACAGCCTAAGTGCCCATCAATGGAAAAATGAATAAACAAAACTTTGATTCATACACACTATGGAATATTATGCTACCTTCAAGAATAACAAGGAAGCCATAAGCCACCACATAACATGGATGAACCTTGAGGTTATTATGCTGAGTGAAATTAGTCACAGAAGGACAAATATTGCATAAGACCATTATTGTAAAAGCTCAAGAAAGATACCCATACTAAAAGGAAAAACAAACAAACAAATCTTTGTTGGTTACTGGTGAGGGTAGGGTGGGGGGGATTGGGGAGGTGGAGGCAGGCGACAGTACAGCAAGGGTTAGGGGACAGACACATCACAGTTTGGGTATTGGGGAGGGCAATACACAAGAAGGGGGTGGAGTGGAAGAACAAGGGAGATAGGGGAACACTGATACAGGTTTGCATGGGCTAAGTGGGACAGAGGTAAATAGTGATGCATGCTCAACTTTGGAACAACAGGGCTCTGTGACACAGAGATTGAGATATACCCTGAAGAGGAAAAATAATACTAAGACGCTTGATTATTTAATGAATATTGGTTTCCCTTGCATACTATTGTAAAATAGGATAGAAAGGAATGTCAGGAAACATGGTTACATAAAGCTTGTAAACCTGTCTTTAGCCTGTAACTGATTGGAATACCTAAAAGGGGTTCTAGTATTTGCCCAGTGAAATAGGAAGGAAATAGAGAAAGATTGATATCCCAGAGTCTTTGCAGTGTATAGGATTTTAGGTGGAATCCTGAGCCCCATCCAGAACCTTCTGAGTTGGGACATTCCCACCAAAAAGGAGAAGCAGACCACCCTGGAACAGCTAGAGTGACAGAAGATAACATCTTCAAAGAAAGATCATCAGGAAAAATCCAAAACAAAAATGGCAATATGACCAGCTACTACAAGAATAAGCAAGTTGCTCACCGGGAAGCCATCAAGGCAAGCAATCAAGTCCATTCAGGACAAATCCCCCTCTAAGACTGACACTCAAAGGGAACTCATGAACTCATGTAAGCTTGCTCGTGACCACATTAGTCTACTGGTGAATGGAAGAGGGGAAAGCCAGCAATGAAGAAATGAGCTGAGTTCAACCACATTCCATAGACTCTCGTTGACCTGGAGATGAGAGAGAGAAGAGGAAGAGCTGGTTGGTCCAAAGTGTGGTGAGACCTGGGGACACCTGAGCCTATGGACAAGGACATAACCCATGAACAAGGACAAAGGAAATGAGGATATATTGCTTCAATTTGATGAACTTGACCGATACTCATAGAGGTAGTAGCCCAGAATACCAACAGAGAGGGGAGGAGTTTTCACATTAAGTATCAGTGCTATCCCCTCTGTACACAGGGTAGATTATTGTTGTTAAGTACCATGGAGTTGGTTCTGACTCATAGTGACCCTGCACAGGGTTTCCAAGGCTGTAAATCTTTACGGGAGCAGAACACCTCATCTTTCTCCTGCAGAACTGCTGGTAGTTTTGAACTACTGATCTTCAGGTTAGCAGCCCAATTCGTAACCACTACCCTAGACAGGGATGGACAATTTAGACATTGACTACCTAAAATGAGGGACTGATAAAGACTCGAAGTGACTGGCTTACAAGGTTTCAGGAGGGAGTTTAAATAAAATTGTGTGGGAGAAGATAGAGTCCCCACTGAATAGCATTCATCTTGTCTAGATGGTGTTGTTCTTATGTGCCATCGAGTCTATTCCGACTCATAGCAACCCTGTACAGGGTTTCCGAGGCTGTAAATCTTTACGGGAGCAGAAAACCTTATCTTTCTCCTGCAGAACAGCTGGTAGTTTCAAACTGCTGACTGAGATTTGCTGCCCAGTTCATAACCACCACACTGGATAGGTCTGGTAAAAAGAGATGGGGTAAGATTCTT